TAGCTACACATTACAAATTTAAATATAACCAGAACTCATAAAGTACTTTTACTGTTCCTAGGTTTTCCAAGTATTTTGAGCAGTTTTATGGTTTTTACTTATTTACATTCCTTTTCAGTAAAATTCATTTTTACCACATTTTAAAGTATTTTTTTTTTTACCTTTTTTACTTATTTGTTTCCAAGTACTTTATACAGCTTTGCTTCATTTACCAGGAAGTATTTGGTACTTCCTGGTTATCTACCTGGTACTAACCTGAGTAACAAGTCACTTGCTACCCTGTTTTTACTGGTATGTAGCAGRTAAGTACTGGTAAATGCCCAGTATCTACCTGGTACATTCTGGGGATTTACCTGGTACATATGATGACCAGGCTGTATTATGAAGTGATTTATTACCTTGTGCCCTATATGTACCAGGTACTTACATGGTAAATACCAGGCTGTATTAAGTATTAACAGTTCTGTTCTGGCCTGAACAGAACTCTGGTTCCTGTCAGTCTGTTTGGGTTCCAGTCCTGCTGTTGTGTTCTGTTTAATAGATTTCATGTGTCTGTTTTCCTAGAAGTCCAATAAATACTCAGATGTGTACAAGTACAGCAGGATGAGTTTGTTTTGTGGTTGTCTGATCAGGACAGATGGGGTGTCTGTCTCAGGCGCCGTCTTTCTGAGCTCATAATCAGATTAATGGGTTTGGAACAGACTCACACTTCTTCACTTTACCTTTGTTGTTCTTTCTTATCTTTGCTTTTCTCGTCTTTCCTCTGTGATCCTCCTGATGGACCAGCTCTGTTTGCTCAACTGACTAAAGCATGTGAGCATCAAATGACTGATTCTCTTCGGCTCGTTTCTCCTCCACATCTAACCCTGGATTTCTTCTTCCTGCAGGGATCCAGAGAGCCGACGGAGCGAGGAAACGACAGTAATTCATCCAACATGGAGCAGCTGCTGGGAGGTACAGACATTTCCTCAGCACTTTTAGGATTTATTAGTCAATCGCATTATTGTTATAATAAACATGATGACCTCTCCTTTAAATCAAAACAACCAGCATGTTTTATTATGCTCTCTAATGTGAAGCTGACATTTAAAGTAAATTCTTTGTGGAGTTTGTATCTCCCGCAGCCGTTAATGCCAAAGTTCAGACTGAGTTCTTCTCATGATGATGTGATGGAGTCCGGATGTTTTTGTCAGACCTTGTTGATGATCTGTGGTTTAATTGTACGTGATGTGCCGAGGATGATGCTCAGTTACTTCCACACTGATAACTAGCTCAGTATTATCTGGACAATTGACTTGATTGTGGTGGCCATCTTGAATACGTGAAATMGCGATCACGTACTTCTGGTTAGCATTTAGCAAATCATGGTTGGCAGCTGGTCTTAAAACACAGGTCCTGCCATATTTTTATACTGCTGCAGGTCCTCGTGTTGAAGTGCTAACGCATGCAGAGTATTAACTCCTTCACACACAGTATAAACTTCTCTCCACACAGCAGAGCACAGGTGTGCATAGGCCTGTCACAATAAACAATAAATCAATTAATCGTATGATAAATTAAATAGAGGAAGATGAGTTTGGGTGGCAYKGTGGCTCAGTTGGTRGAGMTGTTGCCTCTCAACAAATCCCGGCGCGGGGACCTTTCTGGGTAGAGTTTGCATGTTCTCTCCGTGCATGCGTGGGTTTTCTCTGGGTACTCCGGCTTCCTCCCACAGACCAAAAACACGTCAGGTTAATTGATAACTCTTAATTGTCCCCAGGTTTGAGTGAGAGAGTGAATGGTTGTTTGTCTCTGTGTCCCTGTGTGCCCCACCCCTTGCACAGTGACTGCTACATCCAGCAGYGGATATGGGCACCAGTGACCCACGCGACCCTAGAAAAGGAATAAACTGGTATAGGTAATGGATGAATGGCAAATAAATTTAAATGAAGATGGCTCTCCTTCGCATGCTTTTTTTGTTTTCTTCACGTCTCCCTCTTTTTTATTTCTTAGCATAGAGAGCAGTGAACTCTGGTGTCAGGTATTTGCCAGGTGCACGGTCTCCTAACCTCTGTAGCATGAGAGCATGTGAACAGTCATTTAGCCAGAAGAGCATCTTCCGTTTTCTGATGCCTTGGGATTGCCAACAGTTGTTTTTTTTCTTTTTACTCTATGTAAATTTTAATGTAAACTTCCATAAATGGGGGTTATATCATATTTGTTTAAACTGGTCTCCAAAAATATTATTGTTTATCGCATTAAATTCTGAGACAATTTATTGTCCAGTAAAATTAGTTATTGTGACAGACCTAGGTGTGCAGGTGTTTTCAAGTAAATAAAAATGAACCTGGGTACAGCACAGACTCTGAAGTTAATGAGCTGCAGAGGTGCACCCAGTGATAACCTGTCCAGTGGTTGAGATATTTTGCTAAYACAAGCAGTGAGTGTGTGTTGCTCAGAGTCTGGACTGAGCAGAGAAACATCAAACTTTGTAAAAACAGGTTCTGGTAAAGTTCAGGTTAGAATATTATTCTGCTTTTCACATGAACAAACATGAACACTGGATAAAAAAAAGAAGTTGACCAGAGGTGCAAATCTCAGATCTGAACAAAAGCTGCTGTGTGATCAGCAGATTGTTTCAGAGGAAAAGATCTGATCCTGCTTCCTGCCACACGACTCCTGACCTCGTGTTCCTGCCCGCCGCCTGCAGCTCAGGGG